GGCGCTGGTGGACTGGCGGCGAGTGTGGTGTCCGCGCTTCCTGTGAGCACTGCCAGCGGCGGTTTGATCTACTACTCCAACAGCTGGCTTTAGTAATTCTTTCAATCCGGAAGTTCCATTGTTGCCAAACTCACGTACGCCGCCATCCTGAATACATTCAGGACTTACAAGAGAGAGCTCATGGTCCCATTCTTTGCAATTCTCCCCGTCAGGCTTGGTTTTTACGCCGTAAAAAATGATCGTATTTACGTTTTTATGCGTAAAAATAGTTTTTACGTTTTTAAGCGTAAAAATGCGTAAAAATACGTAAATGCAACGTAAAAACTGCTTGATGTACATAAGGACAGTACATGCAGATTTACAGAGTCCGGAGAGTGGCAGCCAGACGCTTTGGAAGAGGCAGAAGACGAGTTTTTGTTGAACGTCATTATCGCCCTTGCCAAGGGCGAGGTGGACGTTGTGTTGAGGGTGTTGCAGATGGTGGAGGACTGATCATTCTAGGCAACTTTTGTCGTGTAAACTACGTGTGCCAGGGAGCCTTAAAAACGTAAAAACAGCCGTAAAAATAGGCCCTTTTGCAAATTTACGTTTTTACGCGTAAAAACGTAAAAGTAAAACATAAACGTAAACGTAAAAACCAAGCCTGCTCCCCGTGGTTGTGTTGTGACTACCTTTTGGGTACCTGGCGCACGACTCGCACACCATTGATAGTGCTCATGGTTCATCTGTCTATGGTGACCTGATAGCACCCAATGCCCAGCATTAAAATGCTCTTGCAATTCGAATTGCAGAATTCTGCGATTCCGCTGCTTCCGGTCTCGCGCACGCCACCCCCCGTCAGGCTACTCACGAGTCTACGTAGACTCATCGACTCTCAGTCGACTGATGAGTCTCATGACTCTGATCATGGTCCCATTCCTTGTAATCCTCTCAGCGTGCATTCATGCTGCATGCACGTTTGCACCTTGTGAGCCACTCGTGCATTATTCCCAGTGTTATTGGTTTATTTGTGAACGACGGCTAGTTCCACTCCCAAACCGATGAAAAGGCACTCTTACAAAATCCTTCAGCTTCTTTTACCCCACCCTCACGTACGCCATCCACATTCAGAACACGCACATCCCGTTCCCGTAATTCTCCTCATGCACTACCGTGATGCCTTCCTCAGGAGCCAGGTCGGGATACCTGATGAGCCGCTCCCAACATCAGTACAAGCGTTCCTGGTTCATCTGCCAACGACGGCCCGCTGCCACTCACAACCCCGCAAGAAAAGCCCCCCTTACAAAATCCTTCAGTTTCACTGCCCCCACCCCCGTGTGTGCCGTCCCCTATCACGGCATCCTTCGCCCATCCTTTGAAATCCTCACAGCATGCTTTCGTGTCGCGTGGTTCTCTTCCACCCCGGCGAGCCTCTCGCAAAATCGTTCCAAGCATTCTTGATTCGCCTGTCAACGGCGGGCCGTTTCCACTCACGACCCCGCGGGGAAAGGCGCACTTACAAATTCCTTCAGTTTCACTGTCCACACCCTCACGCCCGCCGTCCCCATTCACGGCACCCTTCGTCCATCCGTTGCAATCCCCGCAACGCACTTTCGTTGTCCATGCCCCTTTTCCACCCATCGGGCCGCTCGCGCGTCACACACCGAGCGTCCCCATCCCAGCCGCCAACGAAGCCCGGGTTCCGCCGCCACGCCAGCAACAAAACCTTAATGCGCCCATCCTCACGCACGCCTCTCCCAACAGTGGACGCACAGTCCGTTCAATGTAATCCTCGCCGACCGCTCGCGTTGTGCGCCACGTCCGCCGTACGCGCGCCTCACGCCACCACATCGTAACTTCCCCAAATGCGGGATCAGTGCCATCACCGGCTCGCGCCGGCCTCCTCGAGTCCAATTACGGCGGTCGTCCCATCGCCCCCTGATGGCGCTCGGTCCGGACGGGCCCCGGGCGAGCTAGGTAGCTCGCAGGGGCGCTCGCCGCCTCGAGGGCCTGCCCTCAAGAGAGGGGGCGGAGGCGGAGGAGGGCTTGGGGTTCGCGGGTGGCGTTGCGGCGGTGGGCCGGTGGCGGAGAAGCTTGTTGGGATTTCGAGGGCGCCGACGACGCTAGCCGCCCAGGTCAGCCCTCGGCCGAGGCCGCAAGGTGTCCCCAGCTTGCTGCGGCGCGCGCAGAATGATGAGGCATCTGTGTTCTATGTCGGTCTCGGGGTTTGATTCAATGTCGGGTGGCTCCCGGCGGTTCACACCTTTCACGGCGCGCGGACGGCTGCACTCGCTCCACCATGCCGCCCCCAGGCCGCCCCTTTCAAAAACGGAGTGCGAGAACGCGCAAGGATGAAGTGATGGGCGCGCACCGAGCGTATGGGTCACCGCATGTGGGTGGCCGGCCGGCGGGCTGGCCGTGTCGGGCGGCCTCACCTGGGGCATCGGCCGCCGCGCGGCGGCCTTTTGGTTTCGGCGCCATCCGATGCGCGAGTTGGGAGATCCTTGGCACTGCATGGGCGGAGATGGCGCGAGCCCTAGGTCATAAGCGCGGGGGCTGGCGGGCATGCTCGAAGCGCCGCGGCGCTTGTCGATTCGAATCGCTGCGGTACAAGACCGCCCGTACGGGCGGGTACGGCGTGGCACATGCACGGAGGCGGTGCCCTGGAACGGCGGTGGTACGTGGGGATCGAATCCAAGCCTGTCGGTGAGCTCTGTTCGGCTGCCCCTGGGCGGGCAGGCCTGATCGGCGCCGCGGCGGAGCGTCTTTCTGTCCGCGGAGGGCGCTCGCTTGGAAGCAGAACAATGCGGCTGGTTGGCGCCAGGACGGGGCGTTTCGAAGTTGATGGACGAAGCGGGCAGGGTCGCGAGCGCGTCGTGGATGTGCCGATCGCGTGGCTGCCCCGCTGGGCTGTGTTACGGCGCTCGTGGGGCGCGGTCCCTGGCGTTGTGGGCGCGGTGGTGGGGTGAGGGGAGGTGGGGCCGGCCAGATCGATCACGAGTCGATCCCGGGGCCTCGCACCGGAGGAAGCAACACGAAGCCGCACTGATCCAATCGCCTTGATTGCCCATCTCAAGCTCGCGGTCGCGAATTGCCGCGTGGTGCGAGAGACATTCTCGGCCCCTCCCACCCTGTCTCGATCAGGTGCGCTGTTGTAGGCGTTCGATTAGCCGCAGTGCTGGGTGCTGACGGGACGCCCCGCTGTGGCACTGCTGGCCTTGGACTGGGGCGTCAGGATCGCCGTTTGGATCGATCACCTGACAGCATGGCGTACTGCCCGGGGGCTGATGGCAGGTAATCACCGCGGTTCTGATGCTGACTGGCTTGCTCGGATGTTTGTGACAACGGCCAATCAACAAGCAGCGAGTGTCTTGTCGCCAAGGCTGGCCGCAGGTTCCCTACCCGTCGGAGGGTCACTCTTTTGCGTGGGTGGGAATTCCTCGCGCAACTTCGTACGGAGAACAACCGCGTGGGCGTAAGGTTAGATACCGGAACAGCGATGGGGGGAAAAGCGAGAAGCGGCCTATCGCCGCACAACTGCTTTGGCTGCAACATCGTGGAACGCTATTCGTGGAGACAGTTGGTGGAAGACTTTGTGCTCGGGGATTGCGGTGATGGTGGATGGACGGCGTTTCACCTCGCCCAATGCCACGACGGCGCCCAAATGGTGCATCTATCACCCAAAGTAAAGTAAAGTAAAGTAGAAATAGAAATAAAGTAAAAGTAAATGAAATAGAAGTAAAGTAAAGTAAAATGATAAAGTAGTAAAGTAAAATAAAGTAAAAGTAAAGTAAAGTAAAGTAAAGGAAATACAAAATAAAAGTAAAGTAAAGTATTAAAAGTAAGCTCATCTGCTTTCTCAAAATTTCGTAAACTCTCCTATACAAAATCAATGCCCACTAACAAACACTAAAACTATACATCCTATCTGGGTCCTTACACAAGAATGTATGCAAGATAGCATATATACCCTTTCCCGAGGCAAGAGCACAGGGGCAGGGTGGTTGCGGGGGAGGGGGACGGACGTTGCGTCCATCAAACCCCGTCACAAGTCTGGGTGCTGAAAAGCGGTGCCACACAAAGGTTCATCAACTGCCGCGAGTATCAGCGCCCGCCGGTCAGTCATTTGTTCAGAAGGCGGCCCGCCCCCAGCCGAGGCTGTCGGCAATAGTCTGCACAGCTCTGCTGGTGCGCTACGGAGGTCTGTGCGCGCCACGAACATGAAGCGCTTACTGCAGGTGCAACACCGTGGGCGCTGGTGGGATTCCGCGCAGGGATCCTATTCTTAAATGCCGAAATTGAGGGCTTGTTTTTCCTTTATGTTCTTCTCTATGCGCGTCTCTGTGCTTGGGCGTCAAAGTCTTTTCAGTGTTTGCTTACGTCGTTTGGTATATTTCTTTCGCGGGAGCACAGCCTGGGATGACACACGCTCGACGCCGCTTCAAATGGAGCCATGGGGGCTTGCAAAGTTGCAAAGCTGCACCTTTGACAGCAAGCAAGCCCGCTTGGTTGTCCCAGTACCTGCACACCAGTCAGGCGCGCGCCCCATTCAGCTGCCAACCCGCAACGGCGGCCCGTTTGCAAATGAGCGCCCCCGCAGGTGGGCGCAAAACCCCCCTGACTTCGCGGAGCCCGAACTCCGCACCGGTCGGCGGTGCACCCCGGCCGCGCAGCGTACCGGCCTACGAAAGGTCACTGCGTAGTCGGCTGACTAGTACTCAATGAGTACCCGGTCGTCGGGCCCCCGGCGTCAGCATCCCGTGCTCCCGGCGCCCGAAGGTCCAATCACGCCGTGAGGCACGTGCCCAATTGGTCAGATCAAAAATATTTTGGTCGGTAGGGGCGCCCAGCGCGACGGCCAACGCCCTCTGGCCCCCCGTGGCCGACTCACGGCACTGGCATATACTCCGGCGGCCCCTTTTCTGTTCTCACTCTTAGAGCCCAGTCAAGAAGTTCGCGTGTTGCCACTCTCGCAGGGGCGCGCCCGCGCGCCGAGACGGAGTGTGGGGTAGCCCGGCGCCATGGCGCCTAGCCGGCAGGCAGAGCTTGGCGAGATCCTCGAAGATGCCCACGACCACCTCGCGGGAGCTCGGTGCCACGCGAGGACGATGGAGTTCCTGTTCCAGCAGATGAAGGGGGCTTGCGGAGCGTGGAGGGGGGCCGAGAAGCTAGCTGGAAAGGGGAAGGGGAATGTGTGCATGAGGGATCAATGGTCGCGGCTCGAGAGGGGGCTGGAGGCGGGGGACCGGATGATACGGCGCCACGCGCGCAGGCTGAGCCTGCGGTCGATCGTGCGCGCGGCGGACGTTGTGGCGGAAGTCGAGGGAATCTGCGGGGAGTTGCTGAGCCTCGGGAGCGAGCTGGTGGGGGATGAGGCCGCCGGGGCGGTTATACGTACAGTTGTGGAGCCCTGGCGCGCGGCGGAGGACCGGGTGTTTCAGTACCATTACCTGTCGTACATTGTGGAGCAGGCGCGGGGGGCGGGGGGCCTTGGGAGGGAGGATAGGGCGGCCTGGGAGGAGGCCAGGAGCGAGCGCGGGACGCCCATGGAGGCTGTGCCGCTGCTGGGCGATGATGAGGAGCTGGAACTTGGGGATGAAATTGTCTCCCGGTGCGGAGGGGTTTGCAGGGTGAGGCGGGGGAGGTGGCACCGGCTGGACGTGGTGGTGAAGGACTACAATGACGAGCAGGGGCTGGGGCTGAGCCACGAGGCGCTGGCGGCGCTGTTCACGGACCTGGAGATCCAGCGGTCGATGGACCTGTCGCGCGTGGTGGGCGTGCTCGCGGCGCGGCGCAGCGGGGTGGTCGTCATGGAGATGGCGCGCTGCGGCCTGGACGAGCTGGTTGCCGAGCAGCCGGATCTGAGCCTCGCCGAGCGTGGCCGCCTGCTGCTGGGCGCCGCATCCGCCCTGGATCACATGCACGCGCGGGGCGTGGCGCACCGCAACGTCAAGTCCAGCAACTTCCTCGTCTTTGGGACATCCGTTGCCGACTTTGTGGTCAAGGCGTCGGACATGGGGCTCACGGCGCCCAAGGCGGAGCTGCGCTTCCGCAGGACCGGCCAGCCGTTCGAGACGTGCGCCTGGGCGGCGCCGGAGGTGCGCGGCGGCGGGCCGCCGGGGACCAGGAGCGACGTCTTCGGCTTCGGCGTGGTGATGTTCGAGGTGATCTCCCGGGCACCGCCCTACGCGGGGGCAGGATCGGAGAACGAGGTGTTGGCGATGAAGAAGCGCGGGGCGGACCCGTGCACGCTGCCGCCGGAGTGCCCGGGCCGCCTAGGGGAGGTCATGCGCCGGTGCCTGGCTCGCGATCCGGCGCAGAGGCCGATCATGAAGGAGGTGATGGTGGAGCTGAAGCGCCTGAGCATGAAGCAGGTGGGCAAACCACTGCGTGTTTGCAGGATCGATTTCCAAAAGCTGTTCCGTTGGAGTTCCGTCGACGGTTTGGATCGCGCGGGGGTGTATGTTCGCGGGTGGGCTGCTCCCGCGCAGGAGAAGGGGGGCGGGGGGGGGGCGCACTGCGAGGCTCGGCGAGCTGCACTGCTCGCGCTGGGCGGTACATTGGGGCGCGGCAGTACGCCTGCACGTGAGTGTGGGGCGTTGGACGGGCAAGACTACCAACCGCTGATTGCTTGCGAGCCGATTGAGAATCGATGCGTATGACTGTGCCGGTGAAACGCGTGGCACCCAGTTAGTCCCTCTGTCTTTTTCCGCGAAGGTCCCTTCTTGCTTCGGATATCCTAAACCCTAAAACCACTGACCCACTGACCGGCATTGCCCTTGTCAGCGGAAGAACAAGGGATCTTCACGGAAAATACAGAGGGACAAGTATATTCTCGTCGGGCGTCCCCTATCCGGTTCCGCGTGTGTTGCCGGAAGCGTGCAGCAACGCGCCCACATGCGCACACCCCTGTTATTGCGTTTGTCATAGTTACATTTGTCATGAGACAAAAAGCCGTGAGGAAAAAGCCCTTGCACCAGACTGGCGAAGTCGGGCAACGTACCCCCATCAACAGCAGCACGTCTGATCTAAAGCAAGGCCTTGCGTCTGTGCCCACAGAACGAAGTCGACGATCGCCGTGGTGGCATTGAAGTTGAGTGTGGATGGGAATAGACGCATTGCCCCGTCTCGTTGCGTTTGGGTGAACCGTTTCCTCTCAACAGTGCTTTGGGAAAAATGGTATAAGGTTCAGTACTTTACAATACTTTTTCATACTAATTTGTACTGGGTGTTTCTTGCTTTTGCAGGCATCGACGCCGGCAGCATCCAAGCGTGCGAGCCGCTTTCAGTTGAAACAGCAGGAGCTGGTGAGTACTGATGTCCAGCAGTGTACCCAGCACTTCTCTTTGAATCGAAATGTCCCTGCCCGCACAATAGCTCGTTTGCCTGCTAGGCGACAAAGGGCAACTGTATAAACATCGAATATGTCAAACTCCCACATCTCCTTTTCTCTTCTTTACTATTCTGGCCTCTGATGCAAAAGGCCACCCGGATTCTTTGATGTGATGCGAAAGGTTGCCCATATCGCCCAGTGTCAGTCCGCCACTGACTCTTGATCAAGAGGCAACTGAAGCTGACCAGTTGATTGAATTTATTACCCCAATTATCACGTCAGTTAATTGAACCAGAGAACCTAAAATAACTGGCCAAATGACCATTCCGTGCACCTTGCCTAATACCTCGAAGTTGTTTACTATTTGAAATGTGACCAGGCCGTGCAATCTTGCGCCTATTTAACAAACTTTCATGTTGTGAATGGGTTGATATTTCCAACATAAGATTAGTTGATATGTGCCCCCATTGCCAGATTCGCCGGTGGCAGAACCTCGATGACGTTTACCAACGTCAGCAGCGCGTCGTGCACGCCGCATTGGGCCGCTTTGCCGCCGAGGAGATTTGAAAATCTTCTTTTCTTTCAGATGCCACTTTGACACTTGCGTGTGTTTGGCTGGCGACATGCAGCGCCGCGACAGCGCAACGTCGGACTCCATTGGCTCGGCAGCGTCGTCGATGATTCACGCTGGGCGGTCCATGTGGTCGCAGGCAAGCTCAGCAGAGTCCGTGAATTGTGCAAAGGGATTCCGTTGTCAGGCTGAGCTGGCCGTCATCCTGCATGGCGACTATTGGCGAATGATCGCACATTGATTGTTTCTTTTCATTGCCTTGATGCGCTGTGTTTCTTGGATGGAACTGATCGATGGCACCGAATGTGTATGGACCGCAGCACATTCAGCAAGCTTACTGATAGATGCTTTGTGTGGGCAAACTGCTGTCTAGGCATGTAGATGCCTGCCTCTGTCGGTGTCTGAATGTAAGAAATGTCGTACTTTCGATTGCTTTTCATAATGAACGATAGTTTTCTCCAGAACAACTCTGCTGCTGACTGTGAGCTGAAAGCAAACGCCTGTAATATCCCTGCACAGTAGCACAGTAGCTAGCATCGTTCATGTATCTTTCAGCGACCTAAGTCTGAAATCATGTAGATGGCTGTGATAGATAACTGCAGATAATACGATAGCGAATAAGATGGATAATGAGATAGATGACTAAATAGAATTTTCAACATAGGTAAGAATACAATGATGCGGATAGAGGAGCATTCAAGAATGCCAATGCTCTTGGCCGCCTTTTAAAGGGTGGGGTCACGCAAAGTGAATTCAAATTCAGGGTTCTTGTATTGGATACACAAGCTGGTCATATTCTAACTTTATGACGTCCAATTAGTCGGCTGTCCATGAATTCACTTAAAATTGTGCACGTGGATGTTGATTCGCTTTGGCAAAGTATTTCATCATAATATGATGATCATATTCAAGGATAGAGGTAGCACAACCGTGCTAATAGAATCGAGGCCTTCAAAGTGCAAGGTGACTCAGAATGTCTATAAAAAAATTGCAACAAGTTGAACCCACAATTTCAAAGCATGTAATTTCAACATTCGTTGTGAGCCCTGGCAGATCAGGAAACATGGTCCTTGTCAATTACATCATAAATTGTTGTGTTTACCACAATGAGTGTCAGTATTGTGACATGTGGCCTGAACTATGTTGCTGCACATGGAAGGCAAGGGGCACCTGTTCGGTTTGACACACCACGGGGGGTAGAAAGCAAAATTTTCTTGTGTATAGATGCCTGTCATCGACTGCGAATTGCCACGCTCCTGCCCAGCTGTCCAAAGCAAAATGAAACCAGCAGATGCAGCAGGGCTCTGTTGCCTATTTTGCTGTTGAAAGACAATCCAGGACCTTTGCAACTGTTACAAGTATTCTAGCAACATTAAACGCAACAGCAGTATGACAGCATGAAGTCTCCATCGCTTGCATGTTTCCAACCGCAGAGTGACCAGTGCTCGTGCCCAGCTTGACCTGCGCAAAATTATGACACCAATGTGGGCCCCACATTTGTGCTGGCTTAGAGACACTTGTGACTGGGTTGGCAGGGATCGGACACAGAGTTTTTCATGAGCGCTGTGGAAGAACATGCGGCCTATGCAGACGGGTTGAGTCAGGGCTCGTGGCCCCCTCCAAAGTCAGAGGCCTCCCATGGCTCCTCCACTGATGTCGATGAGCTCTGCACCAACAGCGAAATTCCCCACAGCGAAATCAACAGAATCATCGGCATGGATGGCTCTGACGACTTCGGGAATGGCTGCGATGGCCATGGTCCTGAAGATGAGGTTCGGCAGAGTCCACAGCAACCGCACATGGAAGAAGAAGACGATGACTATGACTGTGACCTGCCTGTTAGTTCCAACATTCTGTTGGAGTCGGTCGAGATGGGCGTCATGCTGTCCAGAGAGGAGTCCTTTGAAGACCAGGAGCCACAGGAGGTGCGCGGTGGCAGAGCGGATTGTGAAGCGGAGCTTGGGGTTGGAGCAGTTTGGTGTCAATCAATCAGTCAGCCAACAGAGCAATGCGTTGAATTGGGAAGGCAAGGAATGCTTTGTCCCACCATTGACATACATGGAAAGGTGCACTAGCAGTTCTGCTCACGAAGTGGTCTGGAATTGTCAGTACCTAGAGTGTAGGTAGTTTGTCTTGAGTTTTCCTAGCTTGCCTTTTCCCAGCTTGCCTTTGCTTCTGGGTGAACTGTGTGTCCGGGATGGACATGGACGTTTTTGGGACACCACGGTTTCGAACAGCAGTCGCAAAGACAATGTCCCTCAACCCAGCCCCCTCTGAAATTGCCTTGCTGTGCCATCCATTGACAGTGTCTTCGGCAGGCGAAACAGTTGGCCTGCAGTTGCATCCTCTCGATACATGCAACGTTCATCGATCGATCGATTAATTGATTGATCGATTAATTGATTGTTCCCTTGCTTGGTTGGTCTTTTTGCTTTTCTTCAGCCTGTCTATGCTTATCGGTCATACACGTTCATGGATCCGGTGGCCACCTACTTTGCCCCGATCCACAATACTTATTCTCGCTGGTGAACACCTCATCGCTTCTCTGATTCTGGCCTTTGCTGACGACGCAGGCCTCCACGGAGTGGACCTCCCTCGCGAAGCAGATCCTGGTCCGCGTGGCCGCCGCGGGCGGCCGCTCAGCGGCGGCCGCCATGCGGCTCGTCAGCCGCCGCTGGTGCACGGCCCTCGACGAGGGCGTCACCTCCATCGAGGTGCCGCAGGCCGCCTACGCCAGCCTGGACCCCGGCTGGGTCCCGCGCCTGGCCAAGTTCCCCAACCTTGCGGGCCTCAAGCTCCCGGCCATCACCGACCTCGCCGGCGCCGCGGGGGGTGCGGCATCCGCATCCTCTTTCCTGCTCTCGCCCTCAGGACTTGCCCCGCTGTCCAATCTCCTGTCCATCGACTTCGGCACCTCGGAGATCGACGACTGGCACCTGGAGAACCTGGAGGGCCTATCGCGGCTGACGTCGCTGGACATTGCCCACTCCCGTGTGACGCACGCCGGGCTGCGGTCCCTCTCCGCCTTCTGCGCGCTGGAGGACCTCAACCTGGCGGACACGCTGATCGGCGACGGTGGCGTGGAGCACATCGCGCGCCTGACCAGTCTCACGTCGCTCGACTTGGGATTCTCAAACGTGCGCTACCGCGGCGTCTGCGACCTGTCCTCGCTCACGAATCTGAGGTCGCTCGGCCTGGGGGGGATAGATCTGTGCGGCCGCAGGGTGGCTCCGGTGGCCAAGCTGACCTCCCTCACGTCGCTGAGCCTGGTGCGCGTCTTCACCTTCGACGACTACGGCGCGAAGGTGCTGGCGGCGTCCAACACGGCGCTGGAGTCGCTCAACCTGGCGCTCACCAGGGTCGGCGACGAGGGCGCGGGCGACCTTGCGGGCCTGACGCGCCTCAGGGTGCTGGACCTAAGGGGCACGGGGGTTGGGGACCGCGGGACCGCGGCCCTTAAGGCCCTGAGCCGCTTGCGGTCGCTGCACCTGGGCGACACCGCCGTCGGGGACGGGAGCTTGGGCCACTTGGCGTGCATGAGCCGCCTAGAAAAGCTCATAGTCGCGGGGTCGCGCATGAGCCCGGGGGCCGCGCGGACAGCCCTTCGCAGGCTGCCGAGGCTCAGGCTGCTCGGACTGGGGTAACCCAAGGAAGAAGAAAGGGGGGGGTCGCTGGGTTGTGATGAGAAGATGGTAGCGATTGCTGATGTGGCTGCCCGCCAGAGGTCAAAGCGGCACAGTGGTTAACTCTTCCAGGCGCTGCGGAGAGCGCCAATAAGGCATTTACCTCTAGAGTCCCAACCTTGGGAGATGTCGCCGGAATTCACTGTTGCGCGTGCGTGGGGGGTGGGGGCTGGGCGACGTCGCCACCCCATTGCCCATGGCGTAGGTGGGAGAACTGAGAGCCTGTCGATGCCGTTGATGTCCCCTGTGACCCCTCCGTCCCCCCTTGTGACAATCCCGCCGACGCTGTGGACGCTCAGCCATCCTCCCAACCCTTTCGGCGATGTCGCCCGGGGTCGCGTTGCAGTCGCCGGCGATGTCGCTGGAGGTTGGGCCTTTTCTTATATTTACAGACGCGAGTTTGGTTGCACATTTGAATTCCCGCCGGGGAGCGAGAAGTGCAGGCGGCAGGGGTGCGTGGCCGCACGAAGGAGAGCGCTGCCTTTTTGGGTGGTTCAAGATAAGAAGTCGAGGTCGGGGTTCCATTGGGCTGGGGCCTTGTGTGGGAAATTATTATTCATGAACGTGATGCAGTATTTAATGAGGGAGTGAGTTGTTGAACGTTGTTTTCTGGGAGTTTCGTGAGATGCCTGGATGCCGTGCTGTGGAGCGTCGCCATGTGGATAGGTGTAGGGTTTCATGCTGTCTCCATATCTCTTCGCCGTTTTGGTTGGCCATTGCGGCACAATGCCATAAACTATCCGGTGGTCGCAATGCGGTTTCAACATGGGCGCAGCTAAGCACTGATTTGGAAAAGGTGGTACAGGATTTGGTACTTACAATACTGTGCAGTGCCAGTTTTTGTTGACAGGATGTCGGCTATATCCTAGCTACTAGCCCAGCATATATTGGCGATGGCTTTTGAGTCGACAGTGGCGGAAACGGACGCTGCACGATGTGTGGCGGCGCCGTGGTGTGTAAAACGATCGTGTGTGGTGGGTGCGAGCTTGCCTTTTTTTGGTAATTTCATTGTCCCTTGAGTAATGGGGGGGACGAGTGACGCGGTGGGGCAGCAGAGATGGCTTCATTGTAAAGAACTCGTTCTCTGGACTCCGTTCCTTCGCGGCAGTCTGAACTATGTGCAGAGAAAGGGCCTGCTAAGTGTCGGGTGGAGCTATATGCTGCCCGCCGAGGGGGGTGGTCGCCCTTGTGCCCGATGCAGGCTCCGCCACCGCCCTCTGGCCAGATTCAAAACCGCGAGCGCCCCACGCCTGCGCCCAAGTCGTGAGCTGCCGTGGGGGCCCTTTGCTGTGCCGACCAAAAGCGAAGGCATCAAGGGCTCGCGCCCAGAGATCCCAAGATCTCACCCGCCCCCGGCAGGCGCTACCGACAACACCAACCACGGCAAGGAGACCGCCAACTGCGGCGCTGCATGTTAGCGATGGGCGTCGCGCCCTCCCCGGCCGAGTCATGGGTGGGGAAACAAAGATACGGCAATGCCCACCCAGCGACCCGCCTACACTCAGGCGGCGAGGATCGAACACGCTTTGCTGAGGCCCTTGAGGCCCTGCAGATTGGATCGCGGGAGAGACTTTCTTTCACAAGCAGCGAGGGCCAAAATCAACTGCACGTGCCCTGCCTCCAACGGGGCAACCAGCGATCCCAAAGAATCATGCAGAAAGGATAAAGTTCAGCATTCCATGCTTGCAACACGTCACCAGTGCGATCCTGAAACGGAGCCAGCCCAGTTTCTGTGGCTTGGCGTTCAAGTGTTTTGGCGGGAAGCGCCATGCTGCGGGCAGGATGGGCTGCCGCAGACCATGGGATAGGAAAGGACCAATGGAGGCCAACAGCCGTGAATGCAAGGTGGCTGGGCCGGGCGGGGAACAGGCAGATGTTCCAGTACGCCAGCCGTGGCGTCGCAACGCAGAACACATCAAGGCAGGCGGCCTCTTTGCAAATTGCTTGGAAGGGGCTGCTTTGGTGGGGATTACTAGCGATTGCGTGGGGGGCTCAGGCGGAACGTGAAGATTCGTTGTTTGATGCCGTCAGTGGCAATACATAGTAAATCGCGCGGTGCAAGGTTGGAAATGTCGCATGATAGGTTGCAGCGCTGCGGCCGCCGCTCTCCATGCCGCAGTGGGTGATGCAATTTGGCGGCATGAGCTGGGGGCGGGTGGGATCTCCTGATCCCTGGGCGCCAGGCCTTGCTTTTGGGCCAGCAAGCACAAGGCCTTCACCGCAGCCTACGACTTGACGCAGGCGCGGGGCGCTCGCAGTTCTGAATATGGCAGGTACCGTAAAATCTTCCACCCTTCCGCGTTGGAAATTTTATCATTACCAGCATTTTTCTTTCGGCGCTTCATTTTTGTTATTGCAAAAGATGGCGTCTGACATGGCAGCCACCCGGGCGAAAATCCACAACGCGCCAAGCCTTCGCCTGTTCCACCTTCCTGCTCGATGGGATTTACGTAGAAAGAGAAGAATCTGAAGTCGTATAGCTCCCCCCAATAGCAGAAAAAGAACCAAATAACACTTTTGCGAACACACATAAAACACATTTCATCAAAGTTCTGCACGCTAAGAACACAAAAATAACCCAAACCCGTAAACTTTGTACACGTTTGAACACGTGCTATTTGCCCCTTTTTCCCTAGTGCCCGCGAACACGTCGCCAGCGATTGCATCACGGAAAGTCCGGCTCAAACTGACCTCCGGGCCTTGCACCTCTGAGCTCACGCAGAAATCCTGACTTTAAATGAGAAACGCGCGGGAAGCCGCTACGGTTCTCACAGAACCGCTTGGAAACTCATGCACCCGCACGGCGAGGTTGCAATGGGCGCCCTCTGCCAAAATTTCGGCGCAGAAGACCTCAAACTCTCGGCTGTGAAGCCGATTTGTTCGGTCTGCGCGCCACGGCCTGTGTGCACGGGTCGCACACGAGGAGAATGCCAACGGATTGCTTACAACTTCACGGACTCTGTTCCGTCCGTTCAGCCCCTCAGACACTGGGCACAGCAGCATACAGACTGCGGCCCCAACACAGCACGGCAGTCACTCCCCAAATATCCTAACCACGTCAGAAAGGTCAGTACAACCCAATCTTATACAATTTCTATCAGGTCGCGTCCAAGCATGGCGGGTCACATCAGTCTCACTCTCCTTGCCCCTCATACTGTGCTGCTCGTATCACATTGCAGCATGCTTCCGCAAACCTCGCATCATGCTCACGTAACCCCCTTGCAATGTTCAGGTGGCCATCACGTCACTCCTTCGTCACCTTTGCAGCACACGTGCAGCACCACAATAGAATATGTGCCGCGACCTGAAAGATTCGCAGGAATATTCGTTGGCACCTACGGCTCCGCCTGCCCTTTTACTGCACTACAATGTACTGCTCACAAACAACGCTGTGACGTCACAGCCACGCCAAAAATCTGCCCAGTGATATTTTTGATTGGGTTAGGTACTGATACACTCACCCAGCGCATCAGCAACAAAAGCATAAAATTTCATAACCAAATTCGTGACCAGGTTCTTGACGTTTCCGTGCGCAACAGGTCGCATCCCTATTGAGCTGTCAGACCTCATACAACCACGTAAGATACATCTGCCTAAGGCAGAAAACTTGGAAAGCGATGACACCACACCTCTCCCTAGGCTGCTCTGAATCAATTGCGCATTGATCAGCATGAAAATCCACGTCAGCTTTGGCGTTTTGATGTACGGCAATCACTGAAAAGTCAAACTTATTCCAGCAAACATCTTGAGAATGGCTCAGCCACTTAAGGCCGGACGTCAGAGCTTTGATTTGTGAGTGTTTTCAGCATAGGCTTGCCGCAATTTCCACAAATTTCCAGTCGCACAATGACATTAATCAAAAAGATTGAACATCACATTTATTGAAACTCAGCAGCATAGTCATCAAATTGCATAGATTGCCTTGCAGATGCCGTAGATTGTTGTAGCATGCATCACCACCTCTCTTGGGTCAGTTCCAGTTGATCAGCTTTAATGGAAAGCTTGGCCGACACTGGCAAAGTCTTTCCGTCTGGGAAGGCGTTCGAGACGCACAATCTCAGCCCTGCACAGCATCTCACTGGATGCCCACGTTCGCTGCCCTTTCTGCCACTGTGAGTAATCCGGCAGCCGTACATCATTTGGCCCCTCCAAGCCCGTCGTCTGTCCCGTGAGACCGTTGCTGCGTTGCACCACCGCCAGCGCTGGCGCCTCTCGCCGTATGCGTGTTCCGCAAGCCACAGTTCCTCGCCGCCTTCGAGGCCTCCACCCGGCCAGTAGACCCATCGGCGAAGATTCACCACGAGTCGCAGCCATCGCCGATCCCACCGATTGCCATCGGTACTTGCAGCCTCACCATCCCGATCGCCGGTGCGAACCAATCGACGCGCATTGCTGCGGCCGATCGGTGCAGATCCATCCTTCCGGCAGTGCTGCGTTGTCGTAAGCGGTTCCCGAGTGAGGACGCATCTTCGCAAGCCAAATGCGGACGTCCAGAGGGGTGGCGCCCGGAGCCCAGTGCGTCGCGTCGCTCCTTGGGATGTAGGACCTCCGTGGCGTCGGTATCGTGTCCCGTACCTCGGCAGAATCGTGCGCACATCGAGATACTCATACGCCTTGCCGCATTGTCGTCTCCGTCTTCTCCTTCTATGCTGGAATTCGTCCCTTTGGAGGAGACTAAGCCATTTTATACTTTTGTGGATTTTCGCCACTTCCCAGCCACCTTTTTAGGCTCATGGGTCGCCAGCTTGGCACAATAACTCACATCATATAATGGCGACCCGATCATTATTTTAACGTTGCTCCACCCAAGTGTTGTTAAGAGAGCGCCATTTATTTTATTGTTTTCCCGGCAAGAAAGAGCCAAGCACTGCGTTGCTGTGTGGAAGAATTGGATATAACGTTGGTATCTGGCGCAAGGGCAGTGACCGATACGATGCAACCTGCATCGGGCATACGGGCGA